AGTGTTTGACTCTTTATATTTTGGTAAAAAATTAGGTGTTCACAATATGTGTATTCATGTAATATGTACGTGGGAATGCATTTAAAAGTGATTTCAAAATTTGAGTCGAAGGTATCTAACAGGAACATTTTATTATGTGTTCAATTATAATAAGTCATAATTTAAGTATTTATATAAAATTTACTGACACATTCAAAATAATATTTAAATCGAATAAAAATATTATTCGAATCAATTAAGAGTTACCTTGAAAATTCATATTTATATATTTAACTACAATAATGTGATCATCAACCAATTCTAAAAGAAAAAGATTCAGTATTGTAGAATTCCATTAATAACTCTTGTAGTCAACATGTGATTAGAATTTCCTCCCAATAGGTGAAAGCACTAGATAAGATTGATTATATCGTAGGTGCTAAAAATCAAGAGTCATCAGTATTTATTTATTTAATTTTGCAATTAAATTATTCAACATCCATTCTCGCTTTCTGATTTTTTTTCAATGAAATTGAAATTTTATTGATTAATCTCAAAATAATTTATCCCACTTAAAAGATGGAATAAAATAATTTCAAATTTAATGAGATAAAGTAAAATGGTACAAATTTATCATAAGAATAAATATTTGGGTATATGTTTATTTATCATGGGAATAATATTTGGACGAAATGCTAATATTAACATGAAAGGGGAAACGGGAAAATGAAATAAAAATGACAGCAGTGGGATTTGAACCCACGCCCTTTCGGACCAGAGCCTAAATCTGGCGCCTTAGACCACTCGGCCAAACTGTCACATGTTGTTAAAATTATCAAATACTATTTATATTACTCCTAAATATATCAATGGAGTTTTCCAAGTTCTTCCCTACAAAAAAGGTATAGTGAAAAATAGCAAAATACCATACATACGAGGATTTTACAAAGTGAGGTAATTAGAAGTTATGCACAAATAACTGGACGATGTTTATTTTCGTACACTAACTAAGCAGACTGCATTCGATTGGTATTCTGGTTAGCCCATCACATACTTCATATATTCCAAGTTGTTACCTATATATTTCAGTTGCTTAAATTCATGCCCCATGAAACCTTTAGTAATTATTTCCTTTTAGTTTTGGGATATCAGACTTAATATCTATTTGATCAAAAAGCATCTATATCAAATTTATATTACCGATATATGGTATGTTTGAATCGTAAGTGAATCACCACATTCATTATTTCCAATTCCTACGATTTTGAAGCGTGACACGTATAAATTTAATTTAATATAAGGTACCAATATAATACTTACTTTATGTTATATACGTTCACGAACATTTTAATGCCTATACGGTGCCTAAAACTCAAACTCACTGCAACAATACAAACCTCCAACAGCTTCTATTCTGTTTGATTACTTTCTTTTAAACTATATCTCTGATTACGAGCTGCTGGAAATTATACTTAACTATTCTGGTCTGATAATTATTATTATTACTCATAGTATATTTCAAGGCATACAAACTAAAACCACCATGGACTAGTACTAGTATACAAGATTACAGTTTGTCCAGTAGACAAAGGCACTGTAAGTTGCTAAGATGAAAGTGATAACAGAGGAGGGTGCCAGCATGCTCGATCAAATGTACAAGAACCGCTAGCAATTTGGTATCTGATCATTTTTAAATATTTATCAACGATTTTGATTCAAGACCAGAAATCCCACCACTGATCATAACTAGAACTATTAGGCTGATGGTTTAAGATACCATCGTCGTCTAAACAGCCCCAATTTTCAGGGGAAGTTAAAGAACTATCCCCTGTTTCAACAATTTTCAGTAGATGATACTCTGCATCATCATCTAACCCGAGATAATCGGCTCTTATACTGCTGTCAATGTCATCATCTGACATAACACCATTTGTTCCATGTTGAGATGATAAGTCAAAAGACAAGCTTGGCATCCCTTCCATTTCATTTTTCTTAATTACAGAGCATCTGTTGTCTGACTCGATTTCTTTCAGCTTTTGTAACTGCACATAAGAAAAAAAAATTAAAATTGGACATTCGTGATATAGTAATATGTGGTATATTTGATCGGGTAGATTTTTGTGATTAAGTACCTGAATAAGCAAGGATTGTTTTTCTTTCTTTAAAGCTTCGTATTGAGAAGCAAGATTGTCATAATTGGATTTAAGTATACTGTAATCCCTTTCGAGTTGCTTCGATTTCCATCGAGCTCTCTTGTTTTGAAACCAAATTGCTACTTGTCGAGGTTGCAATCCGAGTTCTCTGGCTAGTTGAAGCTTCTTTCTTGGTTCAAGTTTGGTCTCTGTTTCAAACATGGTTTCTAATGATTTAATCTGTTCATCGCTGAACCTCCTCGCGTTGTTACTACTATGAATCTTCTTCTTCTTTGAGGATGATAGACTGCTGAAGCAACTGCTACTGCTAAAACACTCTGCAGACACAGCAGCTGTTGAAGAACTTGGAGAAAATTCCCCTGTATCAAACATGTTATTAATTCGGCTTCAATCATGCAAATCTTGCACCAAAATAAAAAAAAAGGAAGATTGAGGAGGAGATTTCTTGATTTGGGATATATTTATGTGTGTGGATTGGAAATGTAATGTTCATGTATCATCTCTGTGGCAGTAGTTGACAGTTGATAGAAGGGTATCTTTATGGTGTTAAGCTCTGGTTGGGAATTATTTAACTTGTGCCCATCTTTTTATATCGATTTGAATAAGGGATGGGGTCCAACATTGCGAATACAATAATTTTTTTTTTTCGAATAACTTATGATTATCGTTCATTTATTTTCTTGAACTCTCCAACTGTTAAGTTGAATATGTGAATGAAATTTTATATATTTAAATAAATTAAGAAGTATTGTTTAAGCAAGAAATTTCTTTATCTCTAAAAACACTCATGAGGTGTTGGGTGGATTGATAGATGAATTTAATTAAAAAATAAAATTATACCATTGACATTAGAGTAAACATTCAATTGTTTGCATTAATTCTGCCAAAACTGTTTTTTATTTCCATAGTTTATTACGAGTAGATGATTGGTTTTTTATTTTTCCCAATATTGAGGGGTTGCCACAATTGGGGCTTTTAGTCGGCTGGCTTCAAGGCTCAAAGTCCCAATCGAGCCATCTTCGAGTAGAGAGAGTACTGTAAGCAAGGAGCCAACAAGTACATCGATCCAATACAAATATAAGTATTATTATTAAAATGATATATGGTTTATGAAAGCCATAGTGGAGTTAATTAGTGGTGTTTACTTGTCATCTTAGTAATCATGGTTATTTTCATTATTATATCTATCATATGGTGTCGGCTGCGTGATTCACGTTATGCCTTATGTAATTATATTTTCAGTCAGCCCCTTTGTCCTTTTAACATATTTACCATTCCTCTATGTGATTTCTTTCGTATTATACTCGTGTGGAGTTGAATAAAAATTCATCTAACTCAAAAATTTTAATTCAAATTATATTTATTTTTTTAATACATTTAAGATATATTTTATTCACAGATAAAAGGGTGAAATGTGGAGAGGTAAAAAGAAAAAAATCTTTATACAACTGCTCTGTGCATGTCTATTTCATGGAAAAGATAATTAAAATATCATTATATTGTTTGATCCTTGTTGGATTAATGCAAGCTGACTCTCCAAAGAAGGCCTTTTACTTATAGCGTAATTGTTAAAACGGCAATTATTACCAAACAAATTAAATAAACAAAGTTGTTGTGTGATATCAGAATCAATAAAATATTCATAGCTCGTACTTTGTAATTAAAAGAGTGGCTGAGCTTGATCAATGGCTTTCTTTAAAATTAATATAATAGAGAGAATGTATGGCCTCGTCAACATTTCTTTTCATGTTGTTCCTTAAGACATATCAAACACGTGTGTGTTTCTCATAGGAAAATGAACTCTTTTCTTGTTAATTTATTTTTTTAAAAATAAATTTGTTTACATTTTTATATAAAAAATTATTCATAAGAGAATTCGATATAGAAATAGTTTTTTATAATAATATACACAATTAATATGGCATGAAAATAGTAATGAGCAAATACGAAAGATAATTAACGAGCCGTTGTCATTACATTCTTTATTTGTTCGGACAATCCTCAACAAATAAAGAAATGCAAAACTTTTAATTAGAAATTATAAATGTATAATAATATTGTTCACCGTTAATTTTGTATGTTTTTATTAAAAAAAATTAGAAATAAATATATAATTTTATTAATCATTCTTTGAATATAATAAATATTAATTTAACTTATATCATGGTTTGACTTGATATATCAAATAAGAAAATAATTATTGATATAACTGTTTCATCTTTATCAAATGACGTTTAGTATTAGGTCTTCAAAAATAATTTGAAAAATAAATATTTAATATTAAAGATAAAAGATAAAAAATAATTAATTTTTTTTATAATTTATGATAAGAATAAATTAAAGACTACGTATAATTATTTTATTAATTTTATAAAATAAATAAGTATCATTAAATATCTTACAATAGTATAACGGACCGTTATGGAAGTACATATAGTAAGAGGTTCACGTAATTAAGGTTATTAAGATAGAGTAATAAATTAAAACTCTCGTATGATGCGAAAAGTATATGTGATATTTCTTCATATTTATCATAGTTAAAATGAAGAAAAAAAGACCCCCAAAAAAAAGGGATTAGGCTTAGCCGAAGAGGAAATTGAGCTGCAGAAGCCGCCACCACCATATCCTAATAAACATTTCGTTCACTTTATTATATTACTTTAAATTAAATAATATTTAAAACATATTTATTATTTTTAAATTTTCAAGTTAAACAAATTTTTTTAAAAAAACACATAGAAAATTTGAAAGCGAGTGAGCCAATAAACTTAGTTGCCAGACAACAAAACATGAAATATGTGTCACACGTTGTCCAACAAAAAGTAACCACGTGGGCAGGAAACAAAGCAAATCCCCTTACGTCGGTTTTATGAAGTGGCGAAAAACTGGTGGTTGTGCTTTCGGACAAAGCGAATTCCATCTTCTACTGATAATATAGGACACGTGCCCATTCCACTGGGGACCAAACACTTTTTAAACTACACCTGTCCGTCTAACTCCCCCCCTCTGTTAACGTGGACATCTAAGGAATTGCCCATGCTCCTAATTATTTTCTATAAGATAATATTATTAATTTTAATAATTGTGATTGCATATTGTTCTTCATAAAAAGTTCTTTTTAGAATTTTTAAATAAGATTATTATTTTGAAATATCGAACAATATGTATAATGTATATGCACCCTTCATTGGCCATGCACTTCGTAGTTTAAAGTTTATGTATTCACTCAATTAGATCATTTACAAACTAATTAGTCATGTATCGACTTAATTAAAACAAACAAATAAATCACAAGTAACTTTTAGATTATAATTAAAATTTCAAAAACACACTCAAACTGAACTAAGGTTTTATTATTCCTTAAATTTATTTTTTTTATAATTTTATACACTTTTTATCTGACGTAATGCACTTTGTGATTCCATGCAATTGAGACTCGTGGAGATATTTGAATATTACATAATTCAAAAAGATACACAGAACTATTAAAAAAAAATTCAAAAAGATAATAAAATCTTAAAACAGTTAAAATGCGTCTCTAAATTTTCAATCATAATCTAGACGAAAACTTGTATATTTTCCAAAAAAATATATATATACATATATACTATGAAATATCTTTATCAAAGATGTTTATTTCAATTTTGGGGTGACAGACATCCTTACATATCTCAAATATGACAAGGCCTTTATTGGTGTCAAGGGTGGGTAGGTGGAAGTAAGTGTTGCCACACAAGACTGTCCTGAACAAGTGGATGCAGATTTCATAGCATTAGTAACGGATCTAAATAATAATTAATATATGCAATAGTCTTAATATATATTTGAAGAATTTTTAAAAATATCAATTATCTAATTTATGAATTCATTTATATCGTCATGTTCTTATTATCTCATTTTTTATCATCATCGCAGTTAGCCTTTATAGTTATTATACTCACAATTGTTAGGTATAGTTTATCATCATTATTATGATAATTATGTATTTTTATTTATCATCATTATATATAAATTATAAAATAGAATAATTATCATTATCATCGTCAATTGTAATATTACAACCACCATAGTAATATTAGCCCCAATTGAGATTAGTAATTATCGCAACTAGTTATCGCCATCACTAAGCGTGTTTATATATATATATATACTATTGATTGATGCATTATAAAATTAATGATTATTTTATTGAATTTTATGTATTTATTAATTTATAAAAATCGTAATTGTTATCTATTTAGATATTTAAATATAAATAATTTTAATTAATTGATGTTCAAATATTAATATAATATGTTGATTAATATTCTAATATGTATGAAATTCAAACATTTAGATTTTAATTTATTAATATTAATCAAATATATATTTAGATCTTAACATCATAATTTTTAATTAAAAAGAACACTTTGAAGTCAAGTGTCTCAAAATGTAAAATTGCACTAGAATTAGTTGATTTTTACCGACAGAATTTAGAAGTAAGTGCAATAAGTGCCTAAATTGAAACATCCAATATGATAGCTCCAATTCTGTAATTTATTGTCACCAATATAATTATAGTTAAGTTCTTTTCTCTTGTTTTTGTTGGCTAGCTTCCCCGTTACATTCAAGTTGATTAAATACATAAATACATCATTATCATGCTAAACTTAAGCTTAGATCCAAAATAGGTGTAAGCTATACATGCATAGTTTTAACATAATATTATTCTTTACTCTTTTGTTAGCTAAATACATACTATCGGATTATTCTAACCTAGGGAAATTAAAGCCCTTTAATTTGTTGTGGTATTATATTTTCATTACTATACTACTACACAATGGCAAGGGTAACCTTCGAGATAAACGTATCAGGAGGAAGTGATCCTGATAGCTTTGACTCAAATTTTACTTCTAATGTCATTTTGTATAAAAGATATATTTAAAATACAATTACTAATATTTGAGTTTATCACCCTAAACTTTATAAAAATTTAATTTTATGTTCACCACTAACACCGTGTATATACATTTTAGTAACACTTATTTTCATACTTCTAGATTCTTTTATATACTAGATTTAAACGACAGTATGAATGATTATGAACCTATTAGGTGGATTAATAATTTATGACTTATAAGCTAAAAGTTGAATTTTAGCTGATGATATTATATTTTTCTTTTTAGTTTAAACAATAGGTTAAAATAAGTGAATGCAAATATGTATTATAATGAGGAGACTTCAACTATATATAATACGTTCTAGAAGACATATAAAGTATATACCATATGTTGGTGGAGGAGTCACGTCTACTCTCTACTTTGTTAAAATGGATGATAAAGTAAGTAACGCAATTGTCAAAAAAGGGAGGCTATAATCTCCAACTCTGTCGGTTTACCAAATAGGCCAAAATAATAACAACAATAATAATAATAATAAATGAACTCCTAAAGAAAGAAATGAAATTCTTTCTCCAACCTAACAGTTACTTTAACCTTAAGCCTGCTTTACTACTTATTTAAGATGTATTTTGTATGAAAAAAATTAAATTATTCATAGATATATATACATTATATTTTGA